AAAAATAAAAAAAACGTTTTATTAAAACGTTTTATTAAAGAAAGTTTCAAAAATTTTTTTCAAAACTTTACCTAGGGAACCGGTATCCACACCGGAATCGATTTCCTGCAAAAAATATAAAAAAGAAATGTTTTTAGCTAAAAACGTTTTTTTTTTAAAAGAAAGTTTCGAAATTTTTCGAAACTTTACCTGTAATATCGGTATCCACACTGGAACTGATTTTCTTCACTAAAAGTATAAAAAAGAAACGTTTTTTCATGTAAAAAACGTTTTTTTAAAGAAAGTTTTGAAACTTTTTTGATTTAATAAAAAGTTACCGAATTCAATGTGTACATTTACGGATGAAAGAGAAAGGCGAAAAGTTTAAAAAGTTTAAAAAAGTTTATTTTAAAAAGACCCGTAAAATGTCAATAGATCATCTGATTTTTTCAGTCATTTACCAACTGATTTGCCGAATTATTGCCAATTAGTTATTGATTTTTACCGTTTGGCAAATTTGGCAAATTTGTGTTGATTTATATGACCAATCAGTATAATTTTACTGAATGATCTTAAAAGAGCAATTTTTCGTATAACAATCGGTATAAATTGATTTTTCACCAAAAGACTAAATGAGTTTTCGTTTAACAATCAGTATTAGTTGATTTGTAAATGATTTTACCGATTTTTGCCATTGGTCAAAAAATGTGACGAATCACATGACCAATCGGCAAAAATTATGCCGAAAGCTCTTAACGGTCGAAAGTTTTGATTTCGACCAGTGTTATTAAATATTATCATTATTTACAATTATAATTATTATAATTTAGGATAAATTAAATTTAAAAAAAAGTACCAATTTATTCAAATATACTGTAATAGGACTCCGCTTACTTATAATAAAGGTACTGTAGAAAATTGGCCCTTTACTAATAGTTTTTACTTTACTTTTTTCTTAAATTCTATTGGTTAATTAGCTAAAAAGGAAAAAAATCATAACAATGTAACATAAAATTTCCTTTTATAGTAGGATCTGCAAAGAATTTTATATATGATTTTTACCTTAGGCCTGGGGGTGATCTATCTTATAAGTAAGTAGGGTCCTATTATAATATATGATATTATAAAAATCAATACAATTTGCTAAAACTCATAATTATGATTATTAATTAATTTTCAATCAACTTGCTCTATTTAAACTTATAAATTTAATTTGAATTTGCTAAAATTAAAATGTGAGTTATATATGTAATATCTGGAATTCTATTTCAATTATTAATAAAATATACTGGTAAGCAAAGGATATAACAAATTAAACCCCTATTTACTTAAGTGCAATAGTAAATATATCCTATAAGCATTCATACCAATGTAATCTTGTAATCTATATATAAAGAGTTAGTAAAAATTAAAAGAAAAAATTCAAATAGAGAAAAATTTTGAAAAAATTCTGAATGAAACTAAAATTTCTATCTGTAAAACAAAACTATTGGCAAAAATAATAAATTCAAGTAAGAAATAGTTGAAAGAATAGCCAATGTTATTCTTGTAGAATTGCTAGAAAAAATTATTACTAATTTCTTGGGTACTTGCTAAAAAAACAACTATACTAATTCATTCATTTCTAGCAATATGGAAAACTACTACATTAAGAGAAATCACTCTGGCATTAAAAGATAAGTTGAATGATATTTCTTTTTTGCCATGCTATACCTGGATCTCTTACTGAAAGTCTTTTAGCAATGAATCAAAAGCAAAACTTGATAAGTTGGAAGTATTAGGTTTCTGAATTTGTAATTACCAAAATATGCAAGGAGATTTATCTATCAGGAATTATAATACAAGTTGAAAGTCTTTTCTGTATTAAGTTTACAGCTCGTCCATTTGTAGCTTTTCTTGATGAGGCCAATGACATTATGTGTAAAACGTCTAGTACAAATGCACAGGAATCTGAGAGTGCAATACGAAAATCATTGAGACATGTATTGGCTATGGTCGCCTTTACAATACATCAACATTAACCTTATATCGTGATGAACATATTCATGTAGTTGATTGATCCAAATAGTGGAGCTGAAAGCTATGCGAATAGGATATGAGTTTTTGAGGCAGGTAAACATATGGCATTTGTATCTACTGAAGCAGTGATGGCTAGAGCATTAGTAGAAAAAACACCTACTGTAAGTTGTCTAACCTGATAATTCGTCTGTTAGAGCCCGTGCATATTATGGAGATATGGATGGGATCTGAAAAGATGGCTATACCATCAGACATAAATCCAAAACATTTTTTGAAAAACATCGCAACTTTTGTTAATTATGCATCATATGATCATGTAACATACAGAAACTTTATTAAAGTTATTCTGATATGAGCGATTTAGGCAATTTCATATGAGAACAGAACTGAGATATCTTATACTAAATACATTTCATATATTATACTAAAAATTAACATGATAAAATAATACAAATTAAGATTACAAATAGAAATCGAGAACACATTATTTGCGATCATTTCGATTAATATGATGGATACTTCGGATTTTTGCAACCGCTTTTTCGAGATACATCTTGTTGGCACATGGAACATGGTTTTCGGATTTCTCGTTCAAGCAGTGCATACCAACACACAGTTTCCCCATGGGTAGTTGCAGCCTTTGATTGTGGTAATATTCGAGTTTAACATTGGTATATTTATTGCCCTCGACAAATAAAGCTATTGAAGCTTGGTACCTGAACAGCATTTTACTAGTAATTGTGGTTGTTTTCCTTCCACTACGAACCGACGCCCCAAACATAAACTTCACAATCTTCTCTTCCCGTTGATATCGTTATATTTACTGCTGCCAGACTTTTTTTATTCGTGTCCATCATATCATCATTCTTGAGAGATATTTTTTTTGGTCTTGAAAGCCCATTCCCTTAAATGATTCCATCCTCATAATGTATATTGTCCATAGGAGTGCGTTCGTGTCCATCATATCATCATTCTTGAGAGATATTTTTTTTGGTCTTGAAAGCCCATTCCCTTAAATGATTCCATCCTCATAATGTATATTGTCCATAGGAGTGCGGCCGCATCCCATACAGAATTAGTCGACAGAATGATGGTTCTATTAATTTTCCTCCAGTGCCAAAGGGAATAAACGGAATCCTGACCTGGGCTTTGGTTCCTAAATGAAAATTTTTTCATTAGCCATATCTATCACTTCGAAATATTGCAAATAATAAATAAATTCAATTCAATTTTATTTTATTACTATAATAATGTATTACTGGGAATATATGATTATATTCGGGTTATTTTCAAAACATACCTGAAGGGTTTTATTTAATCAATTTTTTGGTCCATTTTTCATTATTAAGGTTTTCTAATCAAGGACCAAGCAAAAAAAATTGAAATTAGCAGTAGTACTTTACAAAAGGGACAAAAGGGACAAAAGTGGTATATCTGGGGGGATCATATTCTTTATTGTTTTCATAATCCCTTTATTGCAAATTCGGCCGCAGTGTTAATCAATGGATCAATACAAATTAAAATATTATTTAATCATACTAATTTGTTGATATTAATGATTTGACTGATCGATCTAACGTATTACATCTAACAACTGTTTTTTGACAAGTAAAAATATTAAGTGGTAGTAAAAAAAGTAAAATAAATTAATCAGTTTGCATGATCTTAACAGTCAAATAGCTTTTATTATATTAATAGATCCTCTAAAAATAACGACTGCGGTTATACAAAATCACATGATACAGTGGCGTAGTCATATCACATTCATTATTTATACTTTATAGTGTTTAAAACAACCAAAACAACCTATAGTCTGAAAAAAATCGCGAAGTTGTGTTTTAGCACGTGATTTTGATTTATTCAACGCAAAATTATAAATTGCTATTGGCGCAGTAATCAAAGCATTAGTAAAATAAATTCGGTATTTCCCTTAAAATCATTTTTTTTCCCAAGTAATTACGTATTTATAACTATATCATTACGTATTTCATCATAAAAGCCAACAAACCACAAATCAAGAGTATATAAAATTAAAATAATAAGAGTTACTGCGCAAGAATCATAATCTAAGGAGTAATTTGATTACAGTATTAATAGTATTAATCATTGTTTCGCTATTTAAAAATTATAATAAAAAAGAACCTCTTTTTTTTTAATCATAATCTAATGAGTAATTTTATTACAGTATTAGTCATATTTTACGTACCTTGTAAATTACTCTACCATTCTAACTTTTAACATTCTTCAGAAAGAAACTCGTATTATCTTTAACTTTAAAAACTCTAAATTCATTATGGAACCGATAGGATCTAAGCCACCACAATTAGGTATGGCTTTCATCGAAGCTAAATGGACGTTTCATCGTCTTGATGCAATAAATGCAAGGCCTAAAATGGGTGTTGACTATTATGTTGATAACGAAAATTTTCTAAAATATTTTAAATTTGATGAAATTAACCCAAATGGAATTTCATGTTTTGTGCCCTTGGGTAACCCACCTCATAATAATCCAATCAGTAAAAGAAAGGACTGCTTTGTCATTCCAAAAGGCACATATCTTCCAAATGGATTAATTCTAGTCTTTACAAATTTTATGAAACTTCGGTTTCCATCTGGCATTCAGGATGCCTGGCATTTTGTCATCGCTCCTACAGAACGTATGACATTAACAAGTTATACAGACGCCATAAGAAACATCGATTGGGAGCTTTGTGAAATCAAGGCTAACGGTGAACTAAAAAAATTAATCCACGAAGATGACGATTTAAGAGGCGTGAAAGATTTTCGTATAAATATGTTATATTGGCTCATAGAAATTTGGTATACGCAGACAGATGATGAGATAGATCGTCTCCTTGCTAATGATATCCATACGTGGATATCAATTAAAAAACCAAATTTTAATGATTTAATTAACGACAAACAACGTGCTCGCACCGCATTTTCTGCAATGGCTCGATTGGATGCGGATGAGTCAGTAACACTAGAAACGTACAAATATACCATTTTAGGTGATCTCGAAGATTTATTTGGATGGAAAGAATCTAGTTTTATTGATCCTAAGGTTGAAGATTATCATCCGGTAAGAAATTTTATTTATTTATTTATTTTTTTTAAAAAAATAAAAGTTAATTTTTTTGGGAGACTAATTTTATGGTTATTTCTTATTATTTTAATGGAAAAAGTCATTACGTACTGAATCGCGGTGATTATTATAACTTACCATCATCGATTGATCTATATCCGAATATAATATGATAGTAGCGTGACTGACGGACATGGACAACTGGCTTCTTTACAAAATATAAAAAAGTAATGAAAACATTTAAAATTTAAAATTATGTGTATATAGCATACTCGCAAATATAAATTTAGCTGTTAGCTTTATTTTTTAGCATTACATAAATCAGATTTTTTCAAAAAGTTGTAATAATAAAGAGATAAAGAAGTAAGTGAGAATAGAATTAGCTATAGAAAAAGAGTTTGCAAATGTTTTACTAATTGGTAATGTAGATAATAAAAAAAAATCATTAATTGTCAGTACATTCTAATAGCTAATGTTTCGCAACGCATTGTAGAATTTTATGTTGATGAAATTACTGATACATAATTTCAAATATTCCCATCGAACTTCGTCTCTAAAAATACCATCACTTAATCTTTATTTTTTTTCCCAGAATTTTTGAAAGGCAAGAACGGATTCCCATAGTATTGCGAAAATTAAAAAATCACATGATCTTAATATGTTGTAATCGGGCGTCCTTATCTTACGAGGGGGTGTACAATCTTAACGTACACCTGGCGGCCCGAGTTTAGGAGTTATGCACGTGCACGTGCATTAATTCCGGCCAGTTCCGTACGTTAATATCGTACGCCCCCAGTGTACGTTAAGGAACCCCGTTGTAATCACGTCTTACTGCGCATTGTATGTAAGCCACCCACGTGATTTGAAAAAATTGCAATCCGCCTGATAATTCTAGGCGGTTACCGGAGAGATAATAGGACTCATCATTGCTGAGACTTTCCTTTCGTATCTTCAGTCACAATAATAATAACCTCTACCTTTGTAATAATCCCCTTCATCATACCATATTTCACCCTCTTCGATTTGGGATTCACCCAAAGAATTAGAGACATGGTTGAGACGCTTACGGCAGGCGCAGTTGCATCACTACCGAAGTCACGTGAGTGCGTGAATTTCATGCAAAAAAAAAATGTATCGATTTGCATGGTAAACTTTGAGAGTTTATCTGCGTTATAAGATTTGATTCGCATAATCTTATCTTCTCCAATTTCGTTAAATAACATATATATAGGCTTAGTTAGCTGGGTTTTTTTGCGCAATTCTACACAAGAGACTCCTGAAAGATACTGTAGCATTTCATCATAAATCTGCCCCTCGCAAGTTCATAGGCTTTTTTTTGTCCATTCTTTAAAATTCCAGGTAAAATCTCACTCTGTCTTTTTTCAAAATACTTCTTGTTTGGCTCGTATAGTCTTAATTTCAGCAAATTTCGTTTTTTCATATAGATAGGCTAATATTAGAATTTAAAATTAAATTAAAATTAATATATAAGTTATTACAATTATTACAATACATGATATTTTTTTAATAAAATATAAAAATAAATTATTATATCTGATATATGACTTTACTACTTATATATAATGGTTCTGTAATTTAATATAATCCATAATTTGTATATTTAAAGTGTTTTTTTATTTAAAATTAAAAAAATATACAATTAAAATATTTACTAAAATTATAAAATCAAAAAAAAAATAATAATATAGTAGTAAAACCTCTTAGAATTCATTAATATTACTAATAGTTTCCATAATTGGTTGATAATACTTTGCATTACCATCAGATAGTCTACCAATTTCAAATATATTCCAATTACCTTTTTCATCTTTCTCATTTCTTTCAACTACACACATTATAACTGCTTGTGAATCAGCAGCAGATTGAATAGTGTAAGAACATAATTGTACATCAGGATCTGAAGGATCATACATTTTAAATGAAGGATTTGGAAAACATCCAATATTTGGTGAATTATATGCACTTAAAATAAAATATAATCTTGTTATTTCACTTGGCATCAATGCTAAATTTGCCGTAATACAATGATGTCCTATATATAAGAAAAAAAAATTAATCATATAAACCTCTAATAAAGCTCAAATCGCATATTTATTTATTACCTCTTTTATTGACATGGTCCATAATATCACCGGAATGTGAAACATTAGGAACATCATTAAAATTCTTTTTAGACCAATCAAAAGTACGGTAAAGTTGATTTCCTGCATAAAGCATACAAGTACCATCTAAAAAATCTCTTCCGGTTGACGGATATCCCCAGAATAAATCAAAAGTTAATGCATTAATAGATAATTCTTTTGAAATAGAATATAATAAAACCATAAGTTGGATATGACTTTCAGGAACTATTGAATATTCAGATAATTTGTTTTTAGTTCCTTCATCTGAAAAAGTCTAAAATTGAGAAATGTTAGTTATTGACTAAAAAAAAAATAATAAAATCTTGGAGTATTTGTCAATATAACTAATGACTTACTTGTAATTCAACGCCCTTATAGCTTAATTTTTGTTTATTAAATCTAACTTTAGTTTGTTTTTCTATAGCTTCTTTTAAATCCGCAACAGTATTAAGATCTTCCAATTTAAAATTTAATTTTGTACCATTCAATAAAATCACATAAATATTTCCTTTTGCAGTATTGATTTCACCATTTTGATTCAGATTATTTTTATTTTTCGTAAGATTAATTCGAAATAATGCTTTTTCCCATGCTAAATTTAAATCTTTAACTTCTTGTTTTGAAATAATTACTTCACATTCAGGACATTTTTGCGGAGTTTGATCTGCTTTTTGAACATCAAAGTAATTTATTAAACACTTTGCGAATGAAAAAAAAAAAAATACGTGAGTATACTGAATGATTTTACTAAACAAAAAACTAATTGAAATTTACCTTTAGACAAAAACTAGGAATGTGAGAGCACTTCCTTCCAATAATATCGGCTGGAAATTCTTTAGATAATTTATCAATCTGGCAATTTGTGCACTTCATGACTTTATGAATTATTTTCTTAGTATTTGATCTTATATTTATAAATTATAATCGCGGAAAAGAAATCCGAATATTTCCACAAGTTCGGAAATGTGTGAAATAACAATTAAAGCTCGATCGACCTCAATGTTACAGAAGTGGTAATTTAACAATGTCATTTTTGATAGAACTTTCTATTTAAGGTTCTATTATACGCAGCATCAGTTGTATCATATTAATGCATAACGGATTCAATTGGCCGATTATATAATAAATGATTAAACAAACCAGTTAGCCAATAACCTACCCTTTGTGAGTCAGACGGTTGGCATCTGACATATCACGTGAGTAACGTGATATAGTCAGCGATTTCCCCATATTTTGGGAACTAAAAAAAAATGACAAATAACATGTGATTGTCGGTTTAAATTATCGTCTTACGTGTCACAAAAAAAACGCTTAAATTTTAGAATTTTAGATGCGCGTCGGCTTTATTCTCGAGTTTCTGGCCTTTTATTTATTCTCATTTAATTATTATTTAATGCTATTTGTATAATCATAATATGCCACCAGCTAAAGTATTAAAAGATCTTTCAGTTAATCTTTATTTTACTCTTCCTCCAAATAATACGCAAACAAGGTTTACAATTCAAATTAAAAAAGACCAATTATTGATTGATGTAGTTAGACATTTTATGAACACAGACAATATTCCATGTTATTTGGAGAACTCCGTTCTTTCGACTATTGAATCATTAATGAACGAAAGTTGGCGTAGAGATATGGAAAGAGATTCAAAAAGTATCCAATACGACTTTTACTTCTTTGTTAAATTAATTTATTCTTATTTGTGATTGATTTTAACTTATTTAGTTCAAGATGGATCAGATGCAACAAATATTCGCGAGAATCTTATAGCTAAATATAAGAAGTACACAACGAAATATAATGATTCTCCTTCAGAGGTTTTTAATCTCTTTTTTTGAAAAAAAATAAAAATAAAAATAAAAAATATATATATAGTATTTAAAATTTTTTTTATTAATCTTTTTTTAGAACATTTTCCCTAAAGCATATCATACACTTGTTCATTCTCCTGTACCATCAATATTTGACACACTTTTACAATTAGAACAAAAATATAAGCAGGCAATTAAAGACCTGGTATCTTCTGGAGAAAAGGAATTGGAAAATGTAAGGGAAAGGTAAAATTAGTATTATCTTTTTTTTAAAAAAAAATTTAGTATCTCTTTATATCTTAATACATTTTCTTATAATTCATTTAAGACATCAGAAAGAAATAGAAGAAATTGAACCGGGATCTATTCAAAATGATTTGATAGAAAAACATCATCAGGAGGTAAAGCCATCATTTATTTTATTCTTGGCGGATTGTAATTTAATAAAAAGAATATTCTCTCTCCCTTTTTTTTATTAGGAAGTTGAGTGTAATCGAGCTACTTTAGTAAGTGGGCTCGAAGATATTAAGAGATCACAGAGAAAAGAATATTGTGAATTTGTAACCAGACTTTATCAAGCACACCAACGATGGTTAACGGAAAATCAATCAGCAACAGATATAAATTGGATATTCCAATTAGATGGAAAAGAAATTGTTAGTGAAGTTATAGCTGATATGAAAAAACGTCAAAAAGAATTATCAAAACAAATATTACGATTAGTCCAAAAAAGCGGAGCTCGTAGTCGTCATGGAAGTATAAGTTCTTTGTCAGAAGTTATATTACCAAATTTGATGCCACCAACATCTCCAATGTTTTCACCTTCAGGCGAAGATAATAATAAGAAACCGGCCTATTTTAATGTGTGAACATTCAGATTTATATATACTTATGATACAAATAGAGAATAATTTTTTTTTTAATTTTCATATAATAACTTAAATTTTATTTAAACATCGAGATAGGAAGAAGATCCTCATATATTAAAAAGAATGGAAGAAATGGGGTTTGATCAAGAGAAAGCTAGGGTGGCTTTGGAAATGACAAATGGAAATATGGTGATTATAAACCATCCCATTTATTCCTCCTATAAATAATTACTGAATCATAATAAAAATTTGAACTTTTTTAGGAACATGCAGTTAATTTTTTATTAGATCCCAAAATTAACAATCAAATAGCCAATACTTCAGCTACTCTAACTCGACGTCCTTCTATTCCTTTTGTGAGTTCACCTTTGAAAGAACAAACCGGAAGTATCGGCAAACGATCAAAATCTCAACGGAAACCCATTATGACAATTCCTATCAAACAAGAAAGGAAAAATACTTGGTCGACCTTTTTTCAGCAGAAACAACCGTTGGCTTCACCTTCATCCGTAAGAAAGATCGGTGGATGGCTTAGTAGAAAAAGCCTTGAAGGAGATGGGAACGGGTTGGAATATTTTTATATAAATTGCTCTATACCATGTTCCATTGCAATATTTGGAAAGACAATCGAGCCAATACAAATCAATGTTGATCCATTTTTTTCGTTTCAAAAAAGCCATGGGCCAAATTTTCAATTAGATAATCCCCAACTTGTCGAATCATTTACAATTTCCCTTGGAAACCAAGTGAAATCGACCCATAATCTTCGACTTTTGGTATCTGATACGGAAGACCTGCTCAGTTCATCCAATGATGCTCGCGATATGGCATATAGAGCTCAAACTGCTGCTAATTTATATTCTCAAAATCTAACGGCAGTTGTTTTACTATTGACACCCAACGACTGGCCTAAATATAAACTAGGCGAAAGTGCTAATAAAGGTTAACAATATTTACATTTTGTATTTTTATTTATTTATTTATTTAATTTAATATCTAAATCTAAATAAAATGTTTGTATTTTTTTTTAAATAGCATTTTTTAAGAGATGTAAAGAATCTACGGATTTCCATTTTGAAGACGTAGAATCGCAGTTTGACGCTATTGAAAAAGATTTTACAACTTCAGATCATACAGTGTATTCTGTACAAGAAGGCAAGAAAATTTAAAATATATTAATCGTTCTTTCTAGTTATATATTAATCCAATTTCTATATTTCGAAAATTACAGGAGACTTTTTTATTACAAGGCATTCAAATTTACCATTGGTTCATATTGTGTTTCATTTAGTGATTGAATTTGAGTGTAGGTATACCTTTAATCATTTCTTTATAAAAAAGAGTATGTTATTAATTTAATTATTTATTTTATTTAGCAATTCAAAAATCAGAACTTACATATAGATCAAATGCAATTAACGGGTTGCGTAATATATTAAAAATAATTGATAGGTTTGATATAACGAGTATTTCATTACCAATTTTATTGTTGCCATCAGATATTGATATATTTACAGCGACGGATCAAACTGATGAAAATATGCTTATAAAAAGAGGAGAATTAGTGTTGAAATGTACAAAAGGATTTATGATGAATAATGTGAGCGTACCAAAACATGTAACAGAAAAAGAACAGGAAACTAAAACCGTTACATTTTTATTGAATAAAGATGTATCCGAACAACAATTTAATAATTTTAGACAATTATTAACTGGAATTTTTAGAGCTAGTTAATAATGTATATTATAATATCGGGTAAATTTTGAGAATAGAATAAATTATTTAAAGGGAGAATTAAAAAAAACATTAAGATAATATATTTATGTATAGATATTAAATAAATTTTTTAATTAAGTAATGAATGAGAATACCAGTTCAAATCAGTTGACTCCATATTATAATATGTTTATTGAATATTTAATAAGGCTTTTATTATCCTTTCTATAGCCCATATAGCCTCAAATAAAGTTATGATTCATTTACCAATTATCAGCTGATAATGCATCATTTATATATATATATTTATCAATTTTATAATAATTTTTTCTCATTGGAACATTATTTGTAATGAATTTGATAATTCTAATACTAATGATAAGCTTAGACTTCATAATTTTAATTTAATACTAACAAATGACTTGAATTCAATGAAATTTTTCTTCTATTTACACCCATATTATATTTTATACCTAAAATTTTTCTTTTTTTAAATTAATCTTAATTTCTAATCCATATTCTTTCTAAATATATGCAAATATAATTGTGAAATTTTTTCATATAGACAAATAATTCAATTCAAAAAAATAACTTTTAACAACTGCTATTAAAAAATTAATAAATTATATATAATTTTTTGTTTTTTATAATAATTTATTTGTAAGATTATAAAAAATTTTTATTTAAATCTATTTACTATAAATTTTAAATATAGAAAATAATCAATATATAAGTTTAAAAGAATTTAAAAAGGATATTTATTTAATATTAACTATTTTATACCTTTTTTATTTATTATATAATACCAATTTGATTTATATAGATTAAATATTTTATCATACAAATATAATTTCAATTAATATTGTAATAATTTTAACTTAAAATTTAATGTATAATATTAATATTTATATAATTTCTAATATATATAAATGAAATTTAAAATTGTGAATCATTATAAATAGGATATATAAAATAAGAATCCTAACTTGCTTTATAATGTGTATTCTAATTAGTATTATTTTGGTAAATTATTTAAAATAATAAAGATTGAGCTTAAATAATTAAAATAATTCTAAAATTATAACAAATAAAAATTTATAGCAATAATCCTATTATAGTGCAGAACCTCTATACTCAACTACTTATGTATAATAACAATTGATTGATTATAAATTCCTAAAAAAAAATTTTTTTATATTAAATTAAAAAATTTAACCGATAATTTTTATAGATATGACCATTAGCTTTAAAAATTATCGGTTATTTTTTTTCTAAATTAAATTTTGGCTGAGTTTTAGCTGTTTAAAAATCTGTAATTTAAATATATTGATTAAATTTAGTTAAAATTGAGACTAGTTTAAATTTTTGTATTACAAGTTTTTTTAGCCATATTTAATGTACAGATTTTTTTTTTTTTAATATGCTAAGAAGAAAAAAAATTTTTAAAACTGCAAAAAAAGATTTAATAAATAAGGTTGTTTAAATATAGGTTAATTTAATGTTATAGATTATAATTATATACCATCAAGTGAATATTTAAAAGACAGTTCAGATGAATTTATAAATGAAAAAATTCAAAAACTAAGTAATTTTACTTTAATTTGATCAAAAAATACATATAATAAAATACAAATCTCATCATCATATACCTGATTCATCAGTTTATAATGAAATACAATAAATAAATATATTATATAAATTTTAATATCTAAAATTCTAATTTCTGATTGGTTAATATATGTATCACGTGATGCTTACATAATCTGAAAAATTGAGACTTTTTATTTTATTTTATAAATCAATTCCTTTTAATAAATAGAGTTTGATTTTTTTTATAAAATTAAAATCCAATCATAAAATCAAATTTTATTCAATTTTTTTTAAGTTCCTATTATAGAGGTTCTGCACCGTAATAACAGAAATGTTTAATAAATTACCTAAATCCTAATTTATTACTATATATAATAAAAATTAATTTAATAATTTAAATATAATAAATATAAATAAAATAAAATTATTTATGGTATATTCTAGTTATTATCTATTTCGCGGATAGTAATTGGTCGTAATTAAATGCGCAGCACTGTAGTTTACTAAATTACAAAAAACTCTGAAGTTCCCGCAGCAAAAAATATTGACAAAAATAAAGTATGATATATTATGATTTTGGTCGATTTTTTTTACTCACATGTTAGTGTTGTAATAGCATATATTGATATATAAATAAAAGCAATAATTAAAATCAGAAAGTCAATTAAATTAATTACGATCAATTTCTAAAGGACATTAATATCACAAATACTGCATGTTTCTTATAACTGATGACCATTTATTCTATTCAAACAGAAGACAAAATGAAACCAGATCATGGGATTAATATTAAGAATGATGTAATAGTAATAGATAGTTTAAACAAAGTTGTAGTCAACAATTATATTAAAAATAATGAAATCAATATTTGAGTTATACCAAAAAAAAATTTCAGGATTAAATCTAATCCAAATCAAGACGTTTAATCATTATAATGAAATTCTAAAAATTTCTATCCCAAATTTTTTGTGAACTTTAATTTCTAACTTCATCTCTGTATGTATTTGTATCACCTATTTAGATCTCATGTAATCTGGATAAAAATCATTTCAATAATCTACATCATCTACATCATTGTGCTCACTCACAATTTTATTTAAATAATAATACAAAAAAAAAAAGAGAGAAAAAGATTATTATTCTAATAACAAAAAAATAAATAAAATTACCTTAATATTGGTTTATACCATTAATAGTATTTAGAATTGGTTGATAATTCATCGCGTTACCGGCAGATAATTTACCAATTTCAAATACATTCCAACTATTTATATCATTTTTTTCAACTACGCACATTATGACTGCTTGCGAGTCAGCAGCGGATTGTATAGTATAAGAACATAGTTGTGCATCAGGATTTGAAGGGTCAAACATATTAAATGAAGGGTTCGGAAAACATCCAATATTCGGTGAATTATATGCGCTCAAAATGAAATATAATTTTGTAACATCAGGAGGCATTGATGCTAAATTTGCTGTAATACAATGATGTCCTGCATATAATAATAAAGAATATTATATAAAATAATCCAAGATGATCAAATATTAAAACTTTTTTTTTTCTTTCTTACTATTTACCTCTTTGATTAATATGGTCCATAATATCACCAGAATGCGAAATATTGGGAATATCACTAAATCTTGTAGCAGCATAGTCAAAAGTTCGATAATGCTGACTCTCTGATCCAATTCCTGTATAAAGCATACAAGTGCCGTCCAGAAAATCACTTCCGGTTGTTGGATATCCCCAGAATAAATCAAAAGTTAATGCATTAATAGATAATTCTTTTGAAATAGAATATAATAAAACCATAAGTTGGATATGACTTTCAGGAACTATTGAATAATCAGATAATGGATTTTTGGTTCCTTGATCTGAAAAAGTCTAAAATTACACAAGACAAAATTTTAATTATTTAACTAAGGAAAAAAAAAATTCGTCCCACTTTTAATTAACATAAACATAACTTACTTTCAATTCAGCGCCTTTATAACTTAATTTTTGTTTATTAATCCTAACCTTAGTTTGTTTTTCTATAGCTTCTTTTAAATCCGCAACAGTATTAAGATCTTCCAATTTAAAAGTTAATTTTGTACCATTCAGTAAAATCACATAGACATTTCCTTTTGCTGTATTATTTTCACCATTTTGATCTGGATTATTTTTATTTTTCGTCTTAATTTCCGAAATATTCTTAAGACTAATCCTAAATAGTGCTTTTTCCCAAGCTAGATTTAATTCTTTAATCTCATGTTTTGAAATAATCACTTCACATTCAGGACATTTTTGTTGAGCCTTTTGAACATCAAAGTGTTTTATTAAACACTTAACATAAAAAAACCAAAAAAATTAAATTAGAAATAATCGAAATATTTTACTAAAAAAATGTAAGAATAATTAAAATTTACCTTTAAACAATGAGTAGGAATATGAATACACTTTCGGCCAATAGTATCGACCGGAAATTCTTTAGATAATTTATCAATCTGACATTTAGTACACTTCATATTATAGCTTATTAAAGTTTGAAGTGTCAAGAAAGGGGAGTTGGTTTTTTTTGTCACAAAATTTTGTATTTATAAGTTTTTCTGCAAATCGTCAATCAAGACGTACGTGACTGCCACAGACGCAGTAAATCGGTGATTATGATCCGTATAATTAACCAAAAAAGGAAAGTATAGACCGTCTATACTTATTTATGAATTTATCACACTAAACATGTGTCAAATAGACTGCGTCTACGCCTTATAATATACAAAAGTAGTAATTTCACTATGTTATTTACTTTATTCAATTTGGAATCTCATTGTCTCTCATTTTAGATAGAATTTCTTCACTTATCTTTTTAAATGCTTATGTTCCAAGGGGCATTTCGGAATTTTATATAATATAGGGTGTACAGTATATACAGTACATACTGACCACTGACCAGCAAAAATTGCACTAAATTACTAATTGATTCCAAACGTTATAAATAACGAGTTATAACAGTGACACCGTGAGAATATAACAGATTAGAGGAATCTTATTGATTTCTAAGAACCTTTAGAAATTGTAAGGTTATCGCTTAATCGGCGTCTCAAATCAATCTATTTTAAAACATTATATTAGACACATAATATTCCAGATATTCGATTCCACAGAATATTAACATTTTCTATTATGGAGAATGAATTATGGCAATGACAGGGATCACGCCTTTGAAAAATTGATTTAATGCTATTTCTCTTCTTTGTGTTTTTGTGTTTGAAATTCGAAGTCATTAGTCTTGAGTCTTGTAAATTTTTAAAGAGTGAATTAGCCTCACGGCGTATTATGCTGTATATATTGGATATGCTATACATTAGATTTAATATTATAGATTAAATCTTTCCAATTTGCCGGATAAGAAATCACGTGAATTTAAACAGGTTTTTCTTCGCAAGGGGGTACTAAATTTATTTTTGGGCATCATTGTTAAAAAGGAATTAATATAAAGTCTTCCGGTTAAGATTTTTTTTAAAAAAAATATTTTCATAAATTTCAAATATGAGGTGTAAAGTTTGTAGAATTGATAAATTATCTCATGAATTCCCGGCTGATACTATTAGCCAAAGGTGTAATCACGTTTCCAATTTTTGTTTAAGGGTAAGTTTCAATTCTATTTTTTATTTATTTATGTAGTTAATTTAATGTAATTTATATTAATTTTTAAAATTTTAAATCTTTAATGACTTGATTATATTTTAACTAATTTTTATTTATTCCTTTCATCTTTTATAAACTAGTGTTTAATAAAAAAAATTGATGTTCAACAATCAAATCAAAAATGCCCTGAATGTGATGCAACTCTTACAAGACAAGAAGTTAAAGATTTATATCTAGCATGGGAAAAATCACCATTTCGAGTTGTTATTGAGAATATTTTAGAACTTAAGCTTAAAAATGAAAATAATTTGAATTCAAATGCGAAGGGGGATTTTTATGTAATTTTATTGAATGGAACGAAATTAAATTTTAAATTAGAAAACATTAAAACCGTCGAGGCTTTAAAGGAAGCTATAAAGCAACAAACTAATATTGAGAATGGTAAACAAAAGTTGATTCATAAAGGTGTTGAATTGGAGGTTTGTTATTATATGGATTCAATTAAATTTTTTTTTAGATCTTGTATGATAATAAAAAAAAATTTTTTTCTTTTATATAATTTTAGATTTTTTCAAATACAACAAGAATTAAAAAACAATTATCTGAATATTCAATAGTTGATGGAAGTCATATCCAACTTATGGTCTTATTATACTCTATCTCAAAAGAATTATCTATTAATGCATTAACTTTTGATCTGTACTGGGGATTTCCACCAAATAGAGGTGATTTTTTAGATGGCACTTGTTTGCTTTTCGCAGGAAAACATCATTACCGTACTTTTGATTATAGATTGAACCATTTCTCTGAAATTCCTGACATGTCACATTCTGGTGATATTATTGATAAGGTTAATCGAAGAGGTAAATAATAATATAGTTTTCATATATTTGGATCTTCTTAAATTTACTCGTATATCACTTGTATTTCATTTATTTTTTTTTCTTCTTCTTCTTAATATAAATAGGTCATCATAGTATTACAGCGAATTTAGCAACAATTCCACGTATAGTAACAAAATTATATTTCGTTTTAAGTGCATATCGTTCTCCAAATATTGGATGTTTTACAAGTCCTTCTTTTAAATTATTTGATCCTTCATATCCTGATACACAATTATGTTCTTATACTATACAATCCGCTTCCACTTCAAAGGCAGTTATAATGTGTGTAATTGAGAAAAGTGATGAAGGTAATTGGAATATATTCGAAATTGGTAAACTATGTGATGGTAATGTATTGGATCTGTCTCTTATACACATCTAGATGTGTATAAGAGACAGGTTATAATGTGTGTAATTGAGAAAAGTGATGAAGGTAATTGGAATATATTCGAAATTGGTAAACTATGTGATGGTAATGTATTGGATTATACACCAATATTAAATACTATTAGTGAATTGGATGTATTTTGATTCGTAAATGTAAGATTTTTTTTTTTTTATCTATTTACAAATAATTGTTGTATAATACTTTGATATAATGTTTTGGTATAATACTTAAATAGCCAAACAAATTATATAATTATAATTCAAATAAAATATAAGAATATGAGATATTTAAAAAGTTTCGATTTGTTACTAAAACCCTAATGAAATATGTAATATAAAAGTTTCTAAATTATTTTTTGTTACATTATAATTGTGACAAATAAGATTATTACACTTCTGTTCCAGAATAATTAGGGTAGAATATCAGATATTGATATCCCCTGATATAATTTGTAAGAAATAAATTCCTCTACAATGAGAAAAATATTTTTGAACAGCTCCATTTAATAAATAATGAATTTTATATTTACAAATTATTATTTATTATTACTCTTAATATACATTATTTCTCAATTAAAATTTTTTTGTTTACATTTTAATAATCTATATTATCTAATCTCCTTTCTCCTTTGTTGAAACCAAGTAACTAATGCTTCATATATAGTCCAATTGATAGCAGCTTGTGTAGTTTTTCTACCTAATCTAAGTGATAAACCATCAAAAAATCTAAGGAATCCTTCTTCCTTTAATTTCAAATAAATGTTATCATTAAAATGTTTGATTTTGAAACAATCATTTTTAATTTTAATAATGACATATTTACTTTACCTTAAATATTTTTAAAGCTCCTATCCAAATATTAGGATAATTTTGAGGTTTTAATTGCACTCTTGTTTTAAGCATATCAAAAGGATGTGTAATAGTAGTAGCCGAAAGACCTGCTATAATAGCTATACGTAAAAAATAATGTAATTAGAAACAATTTAATAATCATAAGAATGAATAAAAAAAGTTTAATTCGTGAAGTCACCAGAAGTCATATGTATGATTGGTGAAGCTATTGTGAATGAATTAGCTAAATAAGCCAATAAAAAAGATATTTTTAAGATCTTGCTTAATTAAAGAAAGATATTGAAAATATTTAAATAATTTAATTAATATACCACTCATTAATAATTTCCATCGTTCATAAAATAGTAAGTATAATCCTGCATAAGGTGCATCTCTGATAACGGTAGCACCATACCCATAAAATAATCCTAGTAAAGAATGGAATTATTAAATATTTTTTTTTTTCTCGGCAAGGATTACGAGTTACATTTCTCAATTAACATGTTAAAAGATAAGTCGCCATGATTAAATCAAAAAGTGATATACATATATGTGTAAAAATAGATCATTACTAAACCTTTTATTCCCTCGTGTCTTAAAATAGATGTAAAAGCTCCCCATATACTTTTATAATTATAAAGATTACTCTAAAAAAGTTTATTACGTTATAAGTATTATTATTTAAGTAATATGATTACGATGATTAATAAACTTTTTAATTTACGCATACCTCATACCTAACTTTAATAATCGTAATTGGCATCGTAATAAATCCAATAGAACCTCTAGCAACCATACCAGAAATTAAATTATCTCTATTTGATAATACTGGTAAAGAGGATTTTGTAGAATTCTGTGAAATATTTCTTTGATGTCTTAAAGAAAAAATATGTCGGATTTCTGATAATGTGAAAAAATATAATGCTGATCCAGGAACATTTCTAATACAAGTAGTTTTTAAGGTTTTACATTAATTTGTTTAAATAATAACTTAAAAAAGCAAAAATAATTTTACCTTAATATTGTTGGAACAGTTCCTTTCCATAATCCACTTATATTATCTTTTTCAATAATATCTTTCACAGTTCGAAGAACTGTACTAGAAAAGAGTTTAATTTGATCAATTCATATCTTAAATTTTACAACTTAAATTCACCTCAATTATCTCACCTATTTAATGATTTTCGACCGTCATTTTTATGATGTTGTCGTTGTTGTTGTATACGAGTTTTCACTAAATCAAATGGTTGTAATAATACGCATGACGCTAAACCTGATACCGCTCCAGATGCTAAATGTACTATTGGATCTTGATTTTTTGTGCCCATGATTATTTACAAACCAGAAAAGAAGGAAGATAAACAGTTATTAATTGGTTAAAGAAAGGAAGAATTAGAGCATTGAAATAAATGTGGAGAATAATTTGGAGTGAGGAAAAAAAATGATTACAAAATAAGTAAAATTATAAGCGAAAATAAAAATTCTTTACATAAATTCTTTCTCTTGAGAGAGAAAAAAAAACTTTCATTGAAAATTATCGCATGATAAACATTTTCAGCTGATGGAGATCATTGTTATCAAACTGCACCACGTTAACTTACCGGAAAAAACCAACTCTAATTTAATTTAGAAATGATCCACATAATTTACGTAATTTAGATATCAAGGTCAAGATGAAAATCAACAATTTTAAAATCGCAAACCCGCACCATTAAACTCTTTTTTTTTTTTGAGAAATGATATATATACAATTTTATTTTATTTTATTTTTAATTTTAATTTTTTTTTTTTTAAATAAAGATATAATTTTGTATGAAAAAAATGAAGAAAAAAAGAAAAAAGAAAGGTAATCAATTAAAATATCGGTAATAAAGAAGATTGATGTAATCCAAGGTATCACAATGAGATTACATTGATTACATTCCAACAGTTCTTCTATCCCAACGATTTCTCTCTAAAACTTCAACAGGCAGATTAGCGAAACCTCTTTGACAAAATTTTTGATGTTGTTCCAAATGTCGTTTTAACATAATATTTTTTGGTCGTTCTTCACGACGAATTGCCGAACCAATTCCCATGAATATTGCAAAATTACCAGCTGAAGATACCATATATCGGCCAAGGGTTGAAATATAACCTCTAGTGCCTGGTCCATGTCTATAAATTATAAAAAAAAATTTGAATAATTCAAAATGCAGGAAAGCAATTTAAAGCTAAGACTTTATTTACTTTAAGACATGATATGTTCCAAAAGCCAACCCTAGACATACACCTAAAGCGCTACCCATAATAACGCCATGTTTCATATGATCAATACGTGAAGATGATTCCATTTTTAAAGATATTTTTTAATGTAATAAAAATAGTATTGTTTTACTTATTTTACTTGTAGAGAAAACTGTAAAATAATCAATTATAAACAAACAAAAAATAAAAGAAAAGAAAAAAAAAACATTAACAAAATTTACAAAAAAATAAATAATTAATTAAACAAATAGAAATAAATAAATAAAAATGTAAAGGGCGTAACTTATTTAAATAATAATTTACCGTTAAAGTTTGGAATCATTTTTAGAGGAAGTAACTCGAGTCGTGGTGTTTAAGCCCGAGTTTATATAAAAAAAAAAATATGGTACTTTGTGGGAATATTTTGTTTGCTTGTATCACGTTGGGGTCAAGATCACCAGATATAACAATAATGATGTGTATGCTTCTATAGCACTTATTTTTCTGTAGGGTTTGGTCATTTGACTTTATTCATTGACGCGTAAAATGGACAAAAACAAAAATCTTCCTGAATTCATTCCTGTTTAATCACGTTATTGTAAGCATTAACTGTTTCATATATCTTTTAGTCTCATGGTTTCGCAGGACTAGATTATTACATGAACTGTGCCACAACGCATCCTACGCAACTAGCGCATATTACATAAAGACATATATAATTAATTTCGATGGAAAAGAGACTATAGAAACTTATAGATTCAAGCAAACTAATTTATTCAATTACAATTGTCACATTTTAATACATAAATAATACTTGCATAAGACTTGATATTAATTATATATGACTATGAAAGAACCCAAAAAAAGAAAAAATATTAATTTACGTTCTATCTAAACTAGTTATCATGTAAACAAATACCCACCCATTATTATTATTATTATATTAAAATAATTCATAAATTTCAGCTCTTGCAATTTCGTCCCCACTTTTTTTAATGATAACTATATTACCAATAATACTATTTTTTTCATCACAAATGCTTAAATTGGCATATTGTCTATTAAATGAAACTAATTCCATGGCATTATGAAACACAGGATTAGTCAAATCATATAATTTTGTTCCTTTCTTATTGTATAATTCAGCTGTATACCGAGGTTCTCCATCTTCAGTTTTAATTCCGTCTATTCCCCCAATAAGTACTGAAAATATTCCATCGACAACAACTTTATTATTTCCTGAAGTTTCAGAAAATGTGATCACCCCATATAAATTATCTTTATTAAAGTCGGGAAAAAATTCCACATGCCCTTGTCTTCTACATATTTTTTTTTTCTCAGGTTTCTCAGGTTTCGCTTCTAAAGTATTAATTGTAAGGAATATAATAAGCGTGATCAAAAGTATATAAGATGGAAAACTTGTATATTTTTTCATCATTAAAGATATTAAATTTTTTTTTAAATTTTTTTTTTTTTTTTTTTTGTCTCTTTGAAAAAAAAAAATTTTCCATTAAAAGTAAAAAAACACTCCTTTTATAGTTCAATGGCAAAGGTTAAATATATAAACTATAAATAAAGACCAATAAACTAAAAAAACCATCTAAACATTTAAAATCCAAATAAGGTGACCATCTAGAATATACTTTGGTTAATCTTTATCATTTATCAAAAATGAAATAGGCATTTGTGGTTTTTTTTAGTACATAATATAAATAACCTGATTGTAACATTGTATTACATCTTAATTATCTATTTCTACTGGGCCAGTACTGGGCCCGTGACATTATTCCTTATCTTGGTTCCGAAATTGGTTAAATAACCAGACTGTTCAGGTAAATCCGATGATAATCGTAGTACTAGTGACAAATAAATAGTAACACAGTTTAACGTAACTAATTATCTTATTTCCGAGGAGATTACGGAATCACGTGTCGCCACTATCTCATTATCCAACCAAAATTTTGCACCGTGTTCGTATAAATACTGAATCTAAAGTTTTTTGAGAAAAAAAAAATGCAAACATTTGCCAGAAAACGATTAAATCAACCGCCTATATATCGAGCAATTAAGAGGCATCCTTTTATATATTTTGGTCTTCCATTAATAGTTCCTATAGTATGCGGTTCTTTTGCTTTAAGTTATTTAACGCAAACTAGATATGATTTATACGAAAATAAAAATAAAAGAGTTGATAAAGAAGAGAAATTACAAATGAATAAAGATAGACGACTAATTAATCTTAAAAATGAGTATGAAGTAAGTAGATAAATATTCTTGAAGAAAAAGTTGTCTTATTAAAAATCGTATATATATATATATTAATTTGGTTTTTTTTCTTTTGAATGAATTAAGAGATTACAAGCTACACATGAAGAACTTGATGATTGGGAGATTAAAAGAGTTGAAAGACGTGATGGCGAATTTGATGGAATATTAAGATAAAATCATTTTATATAGGGATATAATGCATAGTTATGAGGATATGATTTATAATTATGTACCGTTAACAAAATATTATAATGTAACGTTAACTTTCGTTGCTGAAGATTGCATAGCAATCCTAGTTAATTCCGACAAAATTTGGAGGGTGGTTAGATCATCAAATTTGAACTTTGATGCGTATTGAACCGGAATCGCGATCTTAGTATATTTCAATGCTACATTATCATAATAAGAAATAAAAGTGATGTTTATGTCAGGGACAAAACAAGGTTTTACTAATTCAGTAGAACATTTAGTCTTTCGCTTGCGTTTCGGACAATTAATTTTATTATTACGCTTCATCACCCTGCGATAATTCTATTTAATATTTCATTTACAGACACAAATGATTACAAGTAATAATGCAAAGGAAATATTCATCGTAGTTATGATATCATATTCAGTGTTACTTTGATCAAATCGAATACAAAAAAAACAAAAAGTATTAGAAATAAAAAAATCCAATGCAATATATAAAACTTATCAAGTCAAACATGGACCTGATGAGTCAATTATATAAAGCGTTCACCTCACTGGCAAAATCATAAAAACGTAATGGTTCGGCATTCAATGATCGTAATAAGATGAAACTTGGTTCGTTTGACCCGTATCGTCAAGCGCATTAAATTACAGTACTATATAGATAACGAGGAATCTCAGAAACCTTAAGCCGAAATTCTCACCTTCATCAATGCTAGATACATGAAACTATCATCATTTAATTGAGACGACTTCAATGAATATTTCATCCTTCTTTGATAACTAAATGACAAGTTATAATTCAGTATTATCAACCCCATCAACCATTGACTTGATCCATAGGTTATAGTTTCAGTTCAACTTGTGCTTTTAAGTCGATGCGTTTTAATTTAGTCCAATTTAATTTTTTATTGGTTTGGCTTGAGTAGAGTATATTTGTGGATTCTGGCCCGATTTTTTTTCTTTCTGAGTTTAACTTGGGGCAAAATATTTATTTTTTTCACAAACTTGGGGCGGAAATAAATTACTCACAACTTCAGCATAAGAGGGCATAGGGAATATATCTCAGCAAGGCAATCCAAGCGAAGAACAAAGCAAGACTCATATGGCTGAAAAACAATATGTCAATATTGATTCGCAAACTGACCCTATAGGAGAGATTTCACAATTCAGAAAAAAATGTAGAAATACAAAATAGAGAGGTGACAAGTTCAACGCAATTAATCTAAAAGAATCAATCGACGGAATATAAAAAACCATTTCTTATATACAAGAACAATGCGGGTGACTTTTTTGACGGTAAAACGAATTAGAAAGGAAGTAATGTCACTTTTAGAGAATTTCTCAAAGAATATTTGTTTATTCCAGTAGTAAAAAGAAATAAAACGCTAGAAGAGGCATACACTCGTATTACAGTAGAGTTAGAAGAATTGACAATAAAAGTCAAATGGAAAGATCAATATGATAATTATCCACAGAAGACATTACAACTTTTTAAAATAACTATCATTGTATAAAAAGAAAGCGAATGGATAATGAAATCATCTACTGATGGTATAATATGGGCTAAATAATATGAAGGTTCTGCTTAAGAATTAGATTACGAAAGTATGTATCCTACGTGTATGAGTGCATTTATGGAAAAAATAGATGTATGTTAGGACTTAGGAGAGGACATGTTTGGTAAATGGTATAATGCGCTTATAAAATTTAAAAGAGAAGGTGGAAGGCTTCAGAAGAATTACTAGTTTTCTTATGTGGTGTATTACGTGAATAAAGGAATAATAGATTTTATGGCCCACACCCACGCATAAAGCTTTTCTATTAGCATTAGTTAGAAAAACAATCTCAGAAACAGTAGAAAAATTTGGCGATATGGTAAAACGCATTCATACAGATGGATTTGTTATCAAAGATAACTATGAGATAGAAATAAAGAAGGAAAATGTATCATAAAAAATTGTAATAATGTTAAATGGGAGAATAGCGAATGATATTAAGGTAGTATATTAAATGTCATTAGGAGATTAATAATGCGAGTAATAGTGTGAAATTATCAAATTTATCCTATGGTGCCTAGTTGAAATTCAGGATTTTTTTTTCTTGATATTCTTATGGGTAGTGTTTACTTAAAAAGATGGGTAAAAAGTCTATCAATATCGGAATGAAAAGTCTATCATTATTAGTCAAAATAAGTATATTAAAAGGCTTTATGGTACGGAAACGTGATATGTAATATTTGAAATTCACACCTTGAAAAAACTACGATTCCAAGTAATTTATATTTAAAAATAAAGTCTTATCTTAAAACTTTGTGTAAACTAACTTAAATGGGTGATTCCAGTGATTCACATTATTATGAAAACCTGCAAATACATGATCTCGAGTAATTAAAATCCGCCTCACTAGCAGGTGCCTGTTAAGTACTGTTACGTAGATGAGGCATTATACAATAAGTACTATACAAGATGCACCACTAGCTATATTACATACCATTTACTTTCAGTAGTTTCGTCAAAGGGTAAAAAAAGATTTCGATTTTTAAAGTGTAAAAGAAAATAGCCAAAAAAGAAAATCCATTGATATTTATTTATACATTAAACTTTTTGATATATTTTACAATTCTAAACAAAAGAAATTAGCTATAAAATTATTGTATCATGATTGTTATACAAATGGAAAAAAGAAGATATTGCAGACGAACAAAAAACAATTTGAGGGAGTAAAAAAGAAGAATTTTTTGTTAAAAAATAAACTAGAAGAGGGAGAGAAGTAAACTTTCAACTGTTCCAAAGCGGTCAACATGGTGATTTGTGTCTCATTAATTTCAAATTACTAATAAACTTATCCCCTTTAATCACATCATATAATCACATTTTTTTTAGTCCGATGGTTGTAACAAAATCCTTCCTGAATAATTATTGACTTTAGTTGAGGTCATATAAGATTTAATTTCAAATAATCATAAATATACATACAATAAAATCTCTATCGAGGGAAGCCTTTACTTTGTCTTTCGTAAAATTCTTGCATTGCACAACGAATTTACATCCCTATGCTCTCCAATCAAATCAGTTCCACCATTTTGTGGCTATTGGAACGGCAAAATATTGATATATTTTTTTTTTTTATTGAATCTAGAATAGTAACTTTTATTTCTCGTGTAATGTACAATACTTTTGGCATCATGTGTTTTTTTGCCTCTGAAGTCCAAATAAATTCTAAGTATGACTCCTTGACCACTTTTTGAAGTCTAGAGATCGTTGAAATGAATAACAAAGATTCATCTTATAGGTGTGATCATGTGTAATATTGTTTATTAGATAATAAAGTTCTTTATTTGCTTTGCGAATGTGTATGAGAGTGTGTTTATAGTTTTTTCTCAATTACTGTTAGAGTATTGTATGCTCCTAAAACCTTTACTTGGCATCAACCCATTATAACTATCGCAGATGTCATCTATGGCATCTCGTGAAAGATACTCCAGCTACTTCATCTTATGGGAGGCCTCCATGTCCCGAGGAAAATCTAATGTGTTTAATTCTTTTATTGCTTGTTCGGCCGTTTGGGTTTATGAAATTTTACATTCAACAATATCTCTAAGACAGTGATGTGCTCTTGGAATATTGGAAGCACTATTGGAAGCACCTTTGGAAAGATTGGAAGCATAATTTTCCAATAAAACCATTTGGATTGGAAACTTCCAACCAAATTTTTATGTCATTGGAAGTACAAATGCACATCACTGCAGTCTAAGGTCTTTTATTTTCTTTTTTCGTACTTCAATAACTTCATCCTGCTCTTCGTTGCGCTTTCTATGATGGTCAAATTTCTCAGATGTAACAGTTTCTTTTTAATTCCACATAGCTTCCAATTCTTTAAATTCGATTGCTAGTATTGTCATAAATCCTCTAGTCCAATCATGATACCTCAAAAACTGCCTGTTTTTTTCGTTTATCTTCTAACTCTTGGACCCCTTGATTAAGATCGATAAATTAATGACTAAATTTTGTAACCTCAATTCTTCTTTCGTAACTCCTCATTTTCTTTCGTAGGTCTTGCACTTCTTTTTATAATTCTTGAACTTTTTCTGACAGTTGTTCGTTATATTTGACCGTTATTAAATCAAGATTTAATGTTCTGACTGTTGAGGTGAAAATATAATATTTTCTGATTTTGATTTCAATTTCGTGTTGTATGTCTAAAATCTAAAACGAAAAGTAATATCTATAAATAATTAGAAATTTTGTATAAAATTCAATGTTACTTGTTTACCTTTCTTCATTATGATTTGAATGATGTTTTTTACCTTTTTGAAATTATTAAAAATAAAAAATGAAATTTTAAAAACAAAAATATGATCCGAAAAATTGAGAGTAATTCTTGTATTATTTGTTTTAATTGGTAGTAGATTAAATAGATTACTAATTATAGTTAATAATTATAAAGTATGATCAATCATTGACGAGTTTATTTGGATAAATGACAAATCGGGGGTGTATTGGGTTCGGTTCCTAAGGTAAGTGAAAAAATTTAAATAAATATGATATTATGAATGAGAAGATATTTGGTTCGTTCGGTTCTTAAGAAAGCAAAGAATAAGTATGATATTATATAAGGAACAATTCAACCTATGATCAATGGTATCGTAAACATTATCGGCATAAATAGTATAAGGTGGGAAGAGGAGGTTTAGTACTTTGGTTGTATTTAACGCTTCAGTTAAAGCAAGACTGCGATGATAATGAGAAGCTACCGTACAGTACATATATGTACTGTAATTTACTGATAATCAATAAAGCTATAAATTCACATGCCATCCTTTATTTCTTTTTTGTTTTGTAACTTTTTATTACTTAAAAATTTTCCAATTCTTTTATTTATGCATTCAAAAAAAAAGCGTTTTTTATAAAAAAAAGAAATTTATATAACGTTTATTACAAAATTTTGATTTGTTAAATTACTAAAATAATAATACATATAAATATTTAAATAAAATAATAGTTAATAAAAGAAAACGTATTATTACTATTTATTTCAATTCAGCCGTTTTTCCTGTTTTTCCGATCGCATCGACGATTTCTTGAGATGTTTTGGCAGTTGTAAGAACAACTGTCTTATTTTCAAGATTGAAGTTAATATTATCCACACCTTTATAAAATCATAAAATAAAAATACGTTTAGTTATATAAATTTGGTAAGAATTAAATATTCTTCAATATATATAACAAAATATACCTCCGAGATTATTTAATGCTTTTTCAACTGATTTCGTGCATCCTGAGCAAGTCATTGGATTGACTTCAAATGTATAAGTTTGCTATATAATTAAGAAAAATATATATATATATATATATATAATTTAATATAAAGCGTAATTAATTACTTTTAAAAAAAATATTTTTAGGTACGTACAGTTTCGCTCATTTTTTAAAAAAAAATTTTTAGAAAAAAAAGTTAAATGTGATGGTATCAGCAGAAAAAGAATTTTAATTTTTTTAAAAAATGTGTGAAATGTGTTGAAACTTGAAAGTATGTATGTACAAGAAAAATTTCATGGTCTTTTATATGTTTTGTTCATACGAATGTTAAACTGTTTTCAATTAATAATCGATGACAAATCTTTTAAGCTAATTTTGTTATTGGTTAGCAAAAATACCGCTTATCCATCACGTAATTTTCTGGATTCCACTAGACAATAACGCCAAAATTTACTAAAATTCGTAATTTGGAACGTAGATCTTAATTTAAATAACCGAGATAATGCAAATCTGTATGATAAATGTAAATTTTCAAATAATTAACTTTTATCTCATTGCCCCCTTTTTTGAAATTTTACCATTTTAGAATCTTTAAATAATCTCAAAGTAGTAATAGCCGGTCATATGTCCAACTAAGAAAACTTATCGAAAAATATTGTGCAATATCTCTCGAATAAGTAATTATATCTCGATAGATTTATAAATTCGGCAATAACTATAGATAATGATAAGTCAGGATCCATATGAGAAATTTTCTTCAGGCGGACGGTCCGTATAACCTGCCGGGACATTATTTTGGTTGAAATGATTTTTTTTTTATTATTAATAAATTTTATTTCACACATATTAAAATGGTACTGTTCCTCCCGTGAAAATCGTGATATCATCCAATGGAATCGCAAACTTTAGTTTTATTTTTTCGCTCCGAACTTACAACAGTTTCTGTTTCCTAGTTTATACATAATTTGTCTTTTTTTCGACTATTTGGATTAAAGAATATTTTATTGTACAACTTTTTCAACTGTAATAAGATTCTCATTAATATTAACATTTTTATCAGATCTACATCGTAAAAAATACATATATAATAGTCAATTCTATAAATACATTTTCATAATAACATTTTCCTACACTATAATTATGTTCTCTCATAATAGTTTATTATTTTTTGTCATCGTAATTTATTATAATAAATATAAATGAAATTTATTTAGAAATTTTTATACATCATTTATAATTAAATTAATAAAATGTCCTTTCGGGATATTAATATTAGGAAATTGAAGTTTCAATAAATGATTCAGTCCGAGAAATGACCAATCGGAAAAATTGATTACAGGAAATAATATTCGGGAAAAAGACAATCGGAAAATCATCATGAACCCATATGATTTTTAGATTTCTTTTAACCCATTCCAGTTTGGACAAGAAAGATTATTTGATTACAAAAAATTAAAAATATATAGCTAGTAAAATAAAATAATAAATACATTATGTGATATTCCGAAAGATCATTTTATAATGATTTATAAAAAAAAATTTTCTTTAATAGATTTTATTTATATTATTATACAGTAACAATTAATAAATCACAGTGACGAAAAAAAAAAATAATAATTTAAAATTCCTTAAATATTTTCATATGATTTTAAGTTTCTTTTAACCCATTCCAGTTTAGACAAAAGATTATTTGATTACAAAATTTAAAATAAATTAATATTAATTAACAAATGTTTTAAATAAATAATATAAAAAAATATAACTGATAATAGCCTCTCTATAAAAAATTTTCATTTATCGGAGTTTTTCCCAGATTTTTTTTTATAGGACCTGTTCATTTTTAATAAATTTTTCAGACGCATAAAAATAATAATACATTACTACATTATGCGAGAACCAATGCATATAGTAAACAGCAAGTATATAGATTTAATAACTTTGACAATAAAATTCTTGACACAATAATTTCCTTAATCCTTATTATTATTATTGCTGTATAAATGCTGTATATACTGTAAAGATATTGGAAATTGAGATTCGGGAAATTGGACTTCAGGAAATTGAGATTAAGAAATTGACATTCCGGAAATTGGGAATTTCGGGAAATGATCCAGTTCGGGAAATCGAGCATTCAGAAAATTGATTTCGGGAAATGATCCAGTTCGAGCATTCAGAAAATTAACTTCGGGAAATGATCCAGTTTGAGCATTCAGAAAATTTACTTCGGGAAATGGTATATTTGAGAAAATGGCATTTCGCAGACAAGGCCCCAATATATACTCTATATATCCTCACGTAACTTAAGAATTTGAAAATTGACACTTCTTAATAATAATAAAGGATGCATAAAATATTACATATATAACAAAGCTATTCCTTCTAAACAGCGTCTAAAATTCAATTTTTTTGCAAAAAAAGTGGCCTAAATGTAGACCATCGATTTTTGGTCATCCAATTGTAAAATTATTTGCAGTATAATAAAAAACTGAAATAAAAAAAAAAACATTTCATTTACATTTATAAATTTTACAAATTGTTTATTAAACACTTCTTTGGAAATCTTTGCCGAACATCAAATGCCTTTTCAAAATCAAAATTGGCCCATTCAGAATTATTAAACAATATGAAATTTTTAAAATAATATTTCTTTCTCAATTGCAGGTCTTACCAAATTAGATATAAATGAAAGAATCATAAGATGAAGTAAATCCGTATGTATATTAAAATGTGATACTTGCACGTATCATGCGAAATCCGCATGTGCATATTTAATTTTACTAGCAGAAAAAAAATCGCATGGGGTCCGCGACAACTGGGCTGTGTTGGTACTTGGCCGCTTGTGGCCGGGGTTGGTCATTGATCGTTTGGCCATTTTTGGCCTGCCAAACTGGCCAAAAAAATCCTTGAATAATACTGACGTAAATGACACTGAAATAATATACCAAACAAAGAATATAACATTACGTAGATCATTCCTTTTTTAGATAGTGCCAGATGAAATTTTTAATTCCTGCCCTGATAGATGTTGCATTTGACCCTATAATAGAATAATAATAAACTTGTAAATTTAAATTTGTCTAATTACTAATGTAAATTTATTCATCACACTTGCGATGACCAGGTTACAGTATCTATAATGTCAGGAAATTACAGCAAATACGATGGTTACTAATTATTATTATATATATAACTACAGTAAGGACAATAACAGATATTACCTAATATCAGTTTATTATACGAGCTTACCTCCTTCCTAAGTAGTTTCACTGCGTTTATTGTACATGTGATAATAGTCAGTGATTTTCTCAGTGAAGATCAAAATGCTGATATATAATAAAAAGAGCAATATGTTCGTTTTATTATGGAACATCTATAGCAGAAAATTGATTAAGATCATGATAATATGTTTCAAGAAGCTAGTTGAGCAATAAACTAACTTACTTTATAATACTTTACAGAATATACTCATTTGTTTGATTGAAAATAATATTGATGATGTAAATTATGGTAAGTTTAAATGTTTCGCTTATTTTTTTTTTTTGTTATTTGGACAAGGCAGATAAAAGGATTTACTAACTAAGTCATCACCTTTTTATATAATTCACAAAATTGATTTTGTTATATGCTTTTAGAGAAAATTACGTTAATATAATTGCATTACGAGAATCTGATCAATGAACTCTCCTTAATATAACAATAAAAGAATTTAATGCTATCCATATGTAAAGATCATCAAGGGATCCTTTTACAATAATATACATAATAATTTTGAGAATATGCAAGAAAGTTTAAGAATAAAAGTCCTTGGATCTTTGCTGGCAATCTTATTGCAGAATTCCGCTTACTTATAATAAAGGTCACCATAGAAATTAGCCCTTTACTAATAGTTTTTACCTTACTTTTTTCTTAAATTCTATTGGTTAATTAGCTAAAAAGGAAAAAAATCATAACAATGTAACATAAAATTTCCTTTTATAGTAGGATTTGCAAAGAATTTTATATATGATTTTTACCTTAGACCTGAGGTGACCTATCTTATAAGTAAGCGGGGTCCTCTTTTTACCCAATAATTTGCCAATCCAGATTTCCTAAATTACCTGTATTAACATGCAAGTAATAAAATTAATACTTATGTACATTGAATCGCCACAAGAAAAATATTTGACTATATTGTTCGGGTCACTTAGTAGTCTAAACGTCTTTTATTTGCAATACATTAAGCTAAAAAAATTACATGATGTGGAACTAGCCTTAAGTATATGATGCCATTCTATGACTTTAGATTATTTATTATACATGATTATTTTTTCAAATGATATTCGTTTTTTTCTAAAGTTTGCCAATACATGCTGTGTCATATAATAATCTTTATTCAATGACATCTTACTAGGACTCTGAATATTTTCAAAATAGGTCATAAGTCATATTTTCGGCAAATTGGCCTATTTTTCAGGGTTCAAAAAATCATTTTTTGTAAATATTTTGGCATTCAATGGTCCAATTTTGACGAATTTTTTTAAAATTGTAGAGCTAAATGAGGGCTACAAAAGGACCCCGCCTACTACTAAAATATGTTACCAGTAGAAATTTTACTTTCATATGAAACCTTACCTTAGGATTTGCTTAAATTTTATTAGTTAATTAACTAAAAAGGAAAAAAATCATAACAATGTAACAGAAAATTTCCTTTTATAGTAGGATCTTCAAAGAGTTTTATATGTAAACCTTACCTTAGGCCACAGGGTGATCTATCTTAATAATAGACGGGATCCTGCTACAAAATAAAAAAATGTTTATTAAAATTGAATTACTGGGTGCTGAGATATTTACAAAAAATGATTTTTTGAGTTTCAGCAAAAAAGGTGTTTTTGGCCAAAAGTCCATTATGACCTTTATATTAGATATCCGGTTCTATCTTACTGTGTAAAATATATACTACGGTAAAGTAGCTTACTACATATGATATATTTTAGAAAGCCTGTCAGCATATGATATCTAAGCCACCCATGTAATTCAGAAAAAAAAACATAGTAATAAACTTATTAGTATAGGACAATTAAGTACCAAATATGCAAAATTCTCCTAGGCGGTTAGTTATTAAGAATATAATAGGACTCATCATTGGAGAGGATTTTCTTTTGTATTTTCTATCACGATAGTAATAACCTCTATCATATTCATCATATTCATTATATCTACTGTATCTACTATATCTATTATATCCATCATCATCCGAATCATCTAGCATCTCTTCTTCAGAATCATCAGAATTGGAGTTATCATTATATAAATTGGAGTCACTATCATGCATACTAACTTCATTTATTTGATCAAAATACACATCATCGTTTGAAGTGACAGTGTTCACTTTAGTGGGATTCACCTCATTGAAAAACATATCTTTATCAAACCATACCTCTTTTTTGGAATTATTAGAAGTGTTAGAGACATGAACTAATGGGATAGGTGCAGTTGATTTCTTTGAAGGCAAGACTTCCAATACATTAATCTGATTGGATTTCTCTAGAACCTCGTTATCTTGTTCTACATCCTCAGAATTATTAGTAAATTCCATATTGGGATTTTTGGTAAAGTAATCTATGACTCTTTGAATTTTTTTATTGATAAATTTTGAAATACTGTTTGTACTGTATGATTTGATATGTTTGATCTTATCTAATCCTATTCTTTCAGTTAACTTGTAAATCTTTCTAGTTCTTTCAATTTTCTTATATAGAGCACAATGCTTAGTATCAGGATTCTGCACAAGTATGAAATCATAAATTAGTCCTTTGGCCTACTCTATCTATAACCATAATTTCATCAATGCTTTTATCAAATGCTATAAAATTACTCCAACATAAAATTTCTGTCTGATTAGTTTTTATTAATATATCTTCTGCATTACAAACTTTTTCATATAAGTTAACTATATTTTGTAAGATATCCAATTTTTCCTGACCTAAGGTCAGTGAAATTTCAGTCACTTAAAATATAATGTCATGCAAAGTACCTCTCAGCTAATTCTGGATAGATGTGTTACAGCTAATACTAGTAGATATTTCTTTAATCAAGCTGAAGCATCCTGCTCGTTCTTTCGCTCATAGCAGTTAAATGTAGTATTCTAGAAAATCAAGAGTATTTTCTGGATAGCTGATTCTCGCAGAAGTTTTTTTTTTATTATGTTTCCTAATTTCGTTGCTAACGCTTTTCTTATGCACTTCATTTAAAAAAGCATCCATTTCTTTTTCTTCTAACGTTTTAATTTCTGTGCGAATAGGTTGACATATATCAGAGTTCTCAACAGAACTAGTACTAGCTGAAGATTGTTTGATTTCCTTGATATCATCATCTAATCTAGCAATAAGGGTGGCCTTTTCTTCATCTCTCTATTTTAGACTCATGAATATGGCTTCATGTTCTTCCAAAGCATGCTTTAATTTTATATTCTCAGTCTTGACTTCAGCATTTTCCTTCTTAAGTTCAATAATTGTCCGAAGCATAAGTGTAGGACACTTCCATTCTACTCCATACCATGCATGTTGGTGTCTGTCCGCACGCGTGTATGGCCAATAAAATCTAAGGATCAGGTGTAACTTTAGATTTGTTTACGTGCATCTTTATGCCCTGATTCTAAAAATATCTTTATAAAGTCACATGACTACTGTTTATACGTTAAATTTAAAAATTTTTTTATCCCTGATTTAAATTTTCTTATTTTTTAAAAGTTTTTTATGGCATTCAAATAATAAATTAATTTTTTTTTTTACTCATAATTTTTACATTTTGTATTTTTTTTAATTAAATGTTAACTTTTTATTTTTTTTTTTTGACAATCATGAGAATAAATTAAAAATTTGCAACACAGTACAAAGTATGAAAGTATGATAATAAAATGACATTTTTTAGTGATACTATTACTTTTTTTTAGCATTTTTAGTGTTATATTTTTAGTGTTCAGTTTAAATTTATGAACATGTAATTTATGATGCTTCGGATGCACCAACGGTTACCATTTCCTAGTCTTAGCTAAGAGTTTCAAATTTATTAAATTTATTTCTCTCAACGAATTAATCTTAAATTGCATGTTTGATAATATTTTTTATACAAGATGGAATAATTCAAAAGTTCAAATTAGTATAGTAATAAATAAAAAAATCATGTGATGTTTTTTAATCCAAGGTCAGCAAAATTTGCCAAGAAAAATTTTTTTATTAATATATGCAAAAAATAAATACAAATGTTCAGAACTGTGCCTATGATATATGATATCTATGCTAATCTCCTATACAATTATTTTTTCTTGATTATCTCTTCTATACAGCACTTCTTAGTTGCAAATTTTTCACTACCTACTGCTCTATCCTTTAATAATTTTACAATCACTTCTAAAACCCTCTTCACATTCTTACACAATTCTGTATCATCTTTGAAAATGTCTTCTGTTAGTGAAATTCGGTATTCAGTTCTACTCATACTATATATACCTTTAGTGCTATAAAGAATGAAGTACCAGTCAATTCCAGTACTGACTATATTATAGACGTAGTTATAGTAGTTAGAATCGAATGCCTCATCCACCTTTCTTTTTTTCTTGTTCATATTTATATTCATTTGAGGGAAATAAAATAGTAAGTTAGCAATAGTCCATTATTATTCTATAGCGAGTAAACTAGTAGAATTTGTTATACTTACATTACAAGTACTTCGATATTGTATTAAGTTTTAACAGATACTCATAGTTGCTTAATTCTACTTGCAAATTATTTTCTCCAATATCTCACTGATAATTTTTTTTGATGGTATAGTTGACATGGCCTGTATTTTCTTCATCAATTATATTTGCCTAAGATGTAATTACCAAATCACCAAGAATACTTACAGCTGTATGTCATCACGATGTTGGTTAAAGTAATTTATTAATATTTATTATTAGCACTTATAAAATATAAGGTATGTTGTAAATGGTTAATAAATATTAAAATTTAGTACTTATTTAATATATTAAGCATTTATTGCTTAATAAATATAAAATTTTAATGCTTATTAAATATTGCTATTCAGTAAACATAAAGTTTCAGTTGGTCTAACATCATGATGGTAAGATTATTGAAATATATTTGCACTGCATAGTTTTATTACTATCTACAACTGGACCCATATTTTTTATTTTACGAAGAATGTCATCAATGCATAGCTTAAATTTGAAAGTACTTTATTTAATGGTGTGAGTGGCTATATTATGATATATGAGCTCGAAATATATAAAAAAGAATCCTTTAATCTGATGTTACTTACATGGTATGAACTGTAGAATGCGAGTTATATCTCTGCTAACAATCCCATATTTCTTCAGCACTTCATTCAAGTCTTTCAAGATTTTGTAGGACAAGAACGACTTTAATTTACACTTACTAAGTTCTTTAGCAAAGTCAGCAGGGTTTGAAGTGGATCCTAAACCTAAACTAATACTGCAAAGTTTTTCTTCAATTATTTTGAGAAAGACACAGTAGTAATCTTTTCTTTTTCAATAATCTTCAAGTTATTATTATTAAGCATCAAGTCCTTTTCCTTATGCAAGAAATCTATAAGCTCCTTCATTTTATATTTTTAAACCACCTCAGCTTAAGTGAAAGCATTTTTTTCTTTTGCTGTAATAGTGGAAGTAGAAATAGAAGCTGGTGTATTAGTTTCAAAGGTAAATATAGCATTACATTTTATAGGAATATTAGATTTAGACGAAAAAATAGTTACTTTTTAGACTGAAATAAAATTTTATTTCTGTTCAAAAAAGAGAATATTGGGCATTAATATAAGTTTTTATGTAGCACATTCGGTTGCGTTATTTCATGTGATCCGCTTCTCATGTACTGATAAAATAATAAATAATAATACTTTATTTATGAAATAAAAATGTTGCTAGAAGTCAGTTCAATAATACATAAAAAATTACATTTCTTTCTTAGTATGGCACTATTAAATGGTTTTTTCCCATTTTCCCACACCATTCAAGATAATTTTGATATAGTGATGTACAACTTGGTTTGGCTATTTTATATTTATACCATGGAGAAATATAATTGATTATAAGTCGAATGGAATTAGGTAGTTAGTCTCACATTATATCTGATTTTATTTTAGTTGCAGGAATTTCTTGTAGATCAAAATCTAAAATATCAAGACTAAAAAGATATTTCATAATTACATCAAATGTATTGAGATGGTTAAATATATTTCCTAGTCTTTTGAAATACTTTGTATTTCCTCTATAGCATAGTAAAACATCAAAACACACTATATAAACATCTCCTATATCTATTTTAATTAGAACATCCTGTTACTTGTAATCATATATCCAGCAAAATCTTTTAATCACTTGGTTTCAAGATCTTTTCATTCTATAACTACCCTTCTTTCTGTTATGAGAAATTTAAGATATCTATTAAATTTATGCTATTCCACATTAAATATTCCAGTTTCATTTATAACAATAAGCTTTTGAACTTGAAGGGGACTATTAAAACATCCAAGAATTTTTTTTCAAATCTAATATAGCAAAATGAAGATGCTTTTCTAGAACTTTATCACCAATAAAATCTGTAATAATATTTTTTCTGCACTATTATATTAATGTAGATTTTAACACTAAGATCATTTGAGGCTTTTCTGCTGGTTTCTGCACTAAGAATGCTCATCACTTTCAAAAATATTCATGAAGTTCAACATTTTCAGTACTGATTATATTCTTTGTATACTAGAAAATAACATCCATAATTTTTTTGTTAATTTCCATTATTAGTTTAGCCAAAAATTCTAGAAAAAGGTTAAAAAAATCTGTGTTTAATTGAAAAGTACTTATGGAATATAGGAGGAAATTATAATCTGTGTAAACTATTAAACCTTTAATAACTGCCTGATCTATCAAAGATTTTAATTTCACTGCTTCACCTTCATATTTGATTATTTTAATTTCAAACTTGGCAATCTTTAGTTCAGGTCCCATATATATATATCAAAATAAAGTCCATTCTCTGAATCTTTATACTTTAATATCTGTATTTGAATTTTCTTTTGAATGTAGGTAACGGTTGTTTGGATTGCTTCATAAACTTTAGTACAGGAATATTTAGTACACACACAGGATCCCACTTACTATAATTAAGATAGATCACTCTGTGATCTCAAATACAGAATCCCATCTACTATTAAGATAGGTTACCCTGTAGCCTAAGGTAAGGTTTACATATAAAACTCTTTAAAGATCCTACTATAAAAGGAAATTTTATATTACATTGTTATGATTTTTTTCCTTTTTAGTTAATTAACCAATAAAATTTAAGCAAATCCTAAGGTAAGGTTTCATATGAAAGTGAAATTTCTACCGGCAACATATCTTAGTAATAGGTAAGGTTCTGGGTAAATATCAGAAGTATTGGAATAGGCTCTCGATAAAATAAAAGTGTTTGATACAATAGAGTGCTAGCCTTAGAAAGTTGTTTCTAGAAAAAGTTTTCTGAAAACACTTTTGGGACGTTAAAAGTAGGCTTTTTAACATTTTTAGTATTCTGGAAAGAC